CGCCGCCGCCGCTGAGGAGGAGGAGGAGGAGGAAGAGGCGAGGCACCATTTGCTGCTCCCTGCCCCAGCCATGGAGAACGCTCACACAAAGACTGTGGAGGAAGTTTTGGCTTATTTCGGTGTCAACGAAAGCACCGGGCTCAGCCTGGAGCAAGTGAAGAAGCTGAAGGAGAAATGGGGCTCCAACGGTAGGTGCCGCGGCCCCCCGCCCCGCCTGCCGCCGCGGGGATGCTCTTGCCGGGAGTCGCCTTTTCGCCCCCTCGCTTTTTCCACCCTTTTCTCTTCTTCGCTCCTTCTCGGGGCTCTGGCCAAGGCCTAACGTGTCCGTGTTTGCAAAGCCGGCATCTCTTGCAGGACCCGGAATAGGAGCGAGGGAGAGAAGATGGCTGACTCGAACTCCACCTCGTGGGTTTCTTTCATACCCCGAGCTCACAGGGCTGCTTTGGCAAGGAGGATGTCACCTCCGTTTCCTTTCACCTTAACGGTGGGAAATCTTCTTCCATTATGAAATGAAGCACTGTGGGGTTTTCTTTTTTAAACCTCCTTCCTTTTTTTTTTGTCTGTCCTGACCTTCATTTTTTTCTTGCTTTCCAATATCCTTGTTTTATATTATTCTCCGGAGTCGGGGCAGAAAATTCATCTGATAAGATTTGTTTTTTTCCCGAATTTTTATTGTTCAGCCTGCCTAGTCCCTTTTGAACTCCCTGTGCCATGGTGTAAAAATGAAAGGCTATGAGAAGATTATATGCTTTTTTTTTTTCCAAATACCTCCTCCTCCCCCCCCCCCCCCCTTGCTCTCTCCCTTCTCTCTTTTATGTTACTAAACCTACTTACGGGGAAATAAAAGGGAAGAGCAGATATAAGAAAATATTTTCAAATTGGGAAAGTAATTTGACTTTTTTTGTCTGTGTGTGGCTATGGAGGAAAAGCCTTGTCAGAAAGCCTTTGAAAGGCTTTCTAAGCCTTTGACCCTTTGTGTGCAGCAACAGCAGAAGTCACACAGCTGCCTGGAGTGATGACTTGGCTGAATTATAACCCTTAGCAGATTCCGGCTGTCCTGTATATTAAAATGCAAGATTATTGGGCCTGTTCAAATCTTTTGGTGAAAAGAGCCCCCTTGGTGGAGCTTTCAGTAGGGCTCTCAAATCCAAACCGTTTGAGTGTACAATTCAGAAACATTATCTGGTAGATGCCTTATAAATGCTGTAATATTTCTTTAATGATTTTTTTTTTCTTTGACATGCTCCCTGGAAAAATCTGTGATTGACAGAATTACCGGCTGAAGAAGGTAAGTATGTTTATGCAATCCTTTGCTAATTCCTGTCAAAAATTCATCATTTTCTTATATGCATAACTGAGTGACTTTGTTGCATATTGCAGGAAAAACCTTACTCGAGCTTGTGATCGAACAGTTTGAAGACTTGCTAGTTAGAATTTTGTTGCTGGCAGCTTGCATATCTTTTGTAAGTACGAATTATTTTTATTTTCTAGTATCTCAGGCTCAGGAACAATGTCTATTTCAACATATATGACCTATGCACAGTGAAGTTAGTCCGCTTCTCAAAAGACAGACGTATAAGATGCAAATCAAATTGCATGCTATCCCTTTAATTATCTTGTAGAGGGTTTGTTGTATGCTGGAAAACATAATTTCAGGTAATCTTCCGTTGTATGAGTTAGAACTACGTAACTACACTAGACAGATATTAAAAAGTATTTTTCATTCAGCACAGCTTATTGACTTGAGGTGGGATTTCCCAATGCTTTTGTTGGCTTTAAAAACTAACCTTGAGTAAGTAAGCATTTAACTGGTCGTTTTTCTTGCCTTTGAGTTAATCGTTATCAAGCTCAATGTAAAATCATTGGGAGACATTTTTGGATGCAATGCAGACTGTAAATAGAATTTACATGGCGAATATTCCAGTTGCCTTCCCTTCCTGATAATAGCAAGGTGACAGTTGTTGCTTTTGACAGTGACAAGAATGATGACGGCAGTGATGGCACCATTGTTTACCAAATTTGGTAACTGACCTTTGGACAGTCTAGTCATAAAATGGACATCTTGCCTTGCATATAGGATTGAAAGAACAAGAACACTAACTTAATTTTAAAAAAGCATGTTTAGCCACGCATAATGTTTAAAGGATGTGCATTTGCTGAAAAACTGGAAATGAATCAAAGGTGAAATGCAGGAGAGAGGTGAAGGCTTGTGTGGTTTGAGGAGCTGGAGAACAAAAAAGCATGCGGAGTACTAACCTGTTTAGGTAGAAGTAAAAGTTTATAGTACTCTGCCCTGGCGTTGTAATTAACTACTTAAAAAATGCTAGAGCCCTTAAAGGGAAATAAATGGAAATTGTGCTGACACTTTAACCAAAGGCGAGGTGATCGGGATGGACAGAGCACTCTGTAGCTGCTCTGTGTGTTTGGTGGGGAGGAAGGGGAGATGGGACAGGGTCCTGCTGTGGTGCCTGTGGTTGCCGCAGTATGCTGTGTTGCTCGCGCTAGACCCAGGGAGGCTTCAGCTATCCCCAGACTGACATTGGGTTTTGGTATGCATATACTGTTACCAGCAGAGCAATGATTGGTGGCATTGATCTTGACCATGAAGGCAGGCGTGCTTTACTACTTCTGCTGGGAAGAAATAAGGCTGACTGTAGAAATTTAGATAAACGGGTTACTTGAGAGCTTTTCTCTCTTCTCTTCCCCGTTTTCCCCTTCCAGCGGATGAAAAGGGGATGTATTTTTTGTTCCTGAAAAGTTGGGAATGATTCTCATTTAATGAGATAAATGACAGTACAGAATTCTGTTAGCCTTTCATTCCCGTGTGCATCGGTTTTGTTTTTATTGTAACTAAATAAGTGAAAAATCAGCTCTCTTTCAGCTTTGACTGCTGAATCTGAGTGTTCAGTATGATACTAAACTGACAAAAGTCATATAATATACATTGCCGTGCACACTTTGCAGACTCTTAGCAACTGGATTAAATTCCTTTCTTCAATGTGTTTAACTTTTCCATTCAAGTAAGGGGAGACTATAGTCTGATGGGGTGGGTTAGATTTAGGTTCTCTTTTTTTCTGCCAGTGACCTGTTGTGTGACCTTGGGCTACTGCTTTGCCTTTTTATGCCTCCTATTGAAGACTTATGGCTACCCACTATAACAGTAGATTGGGAGAAGTGACCACTTTCTCTTCAAATCTTCTTTTAGATTTGATTTAAAAAAAAATAACTTGACGTATTTTAATTTTGGCAGTTTTAAAAGCACTTCCCTCCTTGTTTTCTGGCGTTTTCCCTGTTCAGAAGATGATCATCCGTTGTCTGTTTTTCTTAGGGGTTTGATGCTTGTTTTTGATGTAAGCATATTAGAGGATTTTGTAATAGTTGTAAGGAACTGCTGAATATGTTGATATCAAGATTTTATTGCGGCAAAAGTTGGGTATAATTAACTTGACCTAAACTCTGGTATTTCTGGAAATTCTTGATGAGAGTATGTAGTGGTATTAGGACAGTAATTGCTCCTTGAGAATACTTGAAAACAATACATAAAGACTGGAATTGTGTATGAAGATAAGATTATGAATTATGTTAAGTCAGTTTTACTATAGAACAACTTAATGCTAAAGGTTACTTCAATGTGTGTATTGTGTTGTCTTTTGCAAACCTTAGACAATTCAATTTTGCAGCTTGTACTGTTACAAAGCATGCAAAACTCCCTGTGCCTCAAGTATCTTGGAGTGGGTAATTAGACTTAAAATGGAGTCAGTCAAGCTTGTGTTGGTTTTGGATGTTGAATAATGAGACTGTGGAGCTTCTCTTCAATCTAAGCCAAAAGTCAAGACTTTTGGCGCTTTAAGAGCAGCGGCATCAGATCCTCACAGAACCATGTCACGGAATTTGGTGATGTACTGACTTTCATTTCAATGACTGTTTTTTACTGTAACTTATTATTTGATAGATCTTAAACCATTGTACTCAAGTAGAAGGTAGGGCATTGTATTGCATACCAAGAGAGGTAAGACTGGGTAACGCCTCTTGTTGGAAATAACTGTCAAACTTTCAGCTGAAGACTTTTAGGCCTGGTGTATATGCCAAAGGGAATTTTCCTCAAGATGCTTAAATAAGTAGCTCTATTTCCATTGAATGACAATAAATAGGAAGAATGGCTTACCAAGGGCTTAAGAAAACAAATGCCCCCAAAAGCCCAAAATTGTGCTAACCCTTTGAGTTAGGGGTGAGAGGGTCAGATGTTGAAATTGGGCATGGATGCTGCGTTGACTTTAAGGGTGTTGTGTGTGTTTTGTGGGGGGGGGGGGTTTGGTTTTTGTGTGGTGTGTTTGGATTTTTTGAGTATGTCAATGAAAATTTGTTCTAATTTGAGTTTGAGAAAGTGAAATTTCTGAAGATTCCATGGAGTATGTACATTGTGGTGCTAATGGCAGTGGATTTATAATGCATACTTTCAGGAAAGATGCTGGTGCACATCTAACCTTTACAAGTTTTTTTTTTTCATTGCTGTTAGGACAGTGAATGTAACAGAGTTCTTCACTAGCTGTACAAATATAAATAAATATTTAAAAAATAAAAACTGCTGAACTTAAAGGCTCAGGTGTGAGGGTCCTCAAGGTATGTAGGTTGCTATTTTGTCATGAAATGCTTTTCTGGTAACTGTTTGTGTTAGGCTCTTAAATTGTATTAAAATCTTATTGTTCTGACTATATATCTAGATGTTAAAGGACAAATGTTGTTTCTGTGCAATTGTTCATCTGCATTTTTCTGTAGAAGCATTCCACTCTTTAATATCATATGAACTTCTGTGTTCAAAGTGCAATTTATGTCCTCTAGCCCTACACCTCTTGTCAGCTACATGTTGATAAAGTAAATCAGACTAATGGCTGAATCTGTGTCACCCTGATCATAGGGGTCATATGCATAGTTAGCATATGTTAGCTATAGGTGCTGTAAGCTGCATTCCAAGTCAGAACTGCTGTTGCTAGTTGGCAACTGTTTAAATTCGTAGACTGCTGCTGTTTTTCAATATCTTCATTGGCCTTAAGTATATATTTAAGAGGAAAAATGTAAATTGTTTCTAATTCTATAAATGGATCTATAGGCTCGGATCTTGCCTCAGTGTTCTGTTGGAATATGTGAAACCACTGCGGAGAGTCTGTTACAGCAGCTGATTGGCCTTCATAGTCTGACTTTCTAGGTGCAAGTAAAAGGATGTTTAATTTTACATCAACTTCAGCTTTAAATTCTTGCTGCTTTAATAGCATGTATTCAATCTGCAGTATTTACATAGAACAACTATTTTTTTCATATAAGTGACTCTGACAGGTTGCAAAATGTTACTGGTGCATCTGGTATAGAATAATACTTTGATAAAATATATATATATATGCGTTAAGCAGAGCGTTAGATGCTTAACCACGCAGACCTACCTTTACATCACTCTTCTGTTGAACTTTCTTGTACTAGATGCAGTGTAGGCTAGATGTTCTATCTAAAACTTGAAGTTTTAACTTTCTCTTAAATACAAGATCCTGAGAGTATTTTGATTATTTCTTTAATGCCTAAGCTAACTCAGTGAATGTTCTGGGGATTTCTTCTGTTGCTAGATATGTGTGTTTAGATTAAGACTGTACACTGTGATTTACTCTGAATATGCTGATTATAGCTTGTAAATTAGCAAGGGCATAGCCTAGCCTGTGCTAACAGGTGAGCAAACTATTGTTCGAGAGAATAAGACTTACCTGTAAAAAAATTGCAGACTTTGCCCTAAAATCACCCAAAAGCTACCTGTTAAGGTCAACAGCAGTAAGTATGTGGCACAAGATAAGTATTGCTGCGATATATTATGCTGGCTTGCTCTTAGCTAAGCTCAGATTAGTCAGTAGCATCCAAGATATCATCTGGTAGGCAAGCGTGACAAAACTATTAAAATGGAGTCATAATTAATTTTTACTAGTTTTGTAGGAATTTTAAAAACTGGGTGCCATATGTCTTTATTTTCCCTTTAAGAAAGGGAAAGGCTACATTAAGAACACAGCAAGCGTTTGTGTATTCGGACATACGGAGTAGCATATCTGATGGGTGTTTGCAACCTGCTAACACAATACAATTCTTAATTTCCTCCTTATATTAATGGCCAAGCTCCTTTCTTCTTTTTTTTTTCTTGTATCAAAATGAAAAACAAACAGAAGAGCTTGTTAGGTTGCTTTTTCTGTTAGTAGTAAGTGGGCACAGACTGCTGGGTAACAGAATTTTCTCTTAAAACTTCTATTCTTTGTTCTAATTCTATTTTTGTTACTTAATGATAAATAGTCACGTGAGACAACTTGCCTCCCTGACTTATCTTGGAATACAGAGATGCTTAATTTGTAGAAGTGCAAAAAGCTGTAAGGACATGTATGTTCTCCTAACTGTGTTGATCACTAGTCTACTGCTGGCTGATTTCTGCATTCTACCTCTGTCTCCTTTTTACAGACAACCATGCAAGTTAAGTGCTTTTTGCCTGGCTTTGCATGTTCTTTGGCTTAGTGTTCTGCAGGTCCCACCCCCTTACTCTTTGATTAAAATAGGCTTGTACAAGTAGCACTCTAGTGAAATAAGAGGAACTCTAAATCAAACGTGCTAAATGAAAGTTGTCCTCTAAGCTACTTATTCTGACTGCTGATATGATAATATTAGGTCTTGCTATTAGTTATTTCCCTTAGATTTTAGACTTGCGTTTCTCTTGATCTATTGTTTTATTCTGTTTATGATAACTTTTCCTACTGACCATATCACCTGAGCAGTACACTGGAGATCAATGATATGGTAATTAAGCTGTTATACCTGTGAATCTTAACATGATTAGGGCTAATATATTGTAGGGCCCTTCTGAATGATAGTCAAATAAAAGATCCCACATCATCAGCCTCTCCAGGATCGTGGAGTACACTAATAGAAACTTTTTGGCGTAAACCTCGTGCTTCTCACAGGAGTTGTCTAGCCTCTACCAGACTTTATCGTATGATGTTCTGTTGTCATTAAAAACACCTAGCTAATACTTCTGAGCTTAAATGACTTGCTACGTATTCCTTGTTCCACTTTCTTTTTTGTATCTGTTGTGTTTTGGCTCTTGGTTACAGGCTACTGTCAAATAACAAGCTTGATCTCTTACTGCAGTATGTGTATTACAAGTATCCTAAATGGGGTGCTAATGTAGCTTTAGTCTGCTATAGGAAAAAACAAGAAGTTGCATATATGTATTTTGTTACTCGTATAGCTATACTTATTAAAGCATTCTAGAACTAGAGCCCGGTATCTGTTTGACTTTTACCAATTGCGTGGAATCTTTTTGGGGGGAAATGTCGTATGATATTTCGTTTTAGTCCTGTTACAGGTTGATAATTTTGCCAAAACAATAGTGAAGGTTTGAAACAACCTGCTGGATTTGTGCTGGCAAGGATATTTGATCCAAGTTCTTCTGGTCTTTCTGAAATAATGGCTGATTGAAAGAAAGGTCCTTTTAAAACTTAATTTTGGTTCTCCTTGACGTGGCCAGATCTTGTCATCCTTGTAGGTACTTCTCTTAACTCGTAACGTTTCAGGCTTTCCTCAGTGTTGTTTTACAACCCACATGATCTTCAGTCTGTAAAGATTATAGTTTAGTACTGTGTTCAGCAGATGTTTTATTCCAGTTAACCTTGCAGGCGCCTGCTCTGTTAAGAATGTTACAAAATGATTGAATTCACTTGCTCTTTTGGAAGCAGGATTGGCTGTACAGAACTCCAATAAGGAAAGGGAGGGAAAAGGTAGATGCTAAGTTTCTTTTGATGCGCTAAAGAAACTAGAGCGTACCATTAGGCATTTCTGTAGCTCCATTGGAGGCAACAATGCTGGTGTAGAGTAAAAGCTATTTATGGTGTAAGGGGTAATGCATAAAGTGAAAAGTACAACGTAGACTGTACGATTGCTGGATTGCTCCAGCAGGTCAAACGGCACAAGCTGTTACTGTGGATGCAGTGGATTAATGCTGTGGGAGGAGGGAAGAAACATTGGGATGTAGCAAGCCTTAGAGTTCCTAACTAAATCTCTTTTTCCAGAGGGATTACACAGACCCTCGATATTGCATTGCCAGTTGGAACATTTCAGTTATATTAATCATAACCTGGATCTTAAAAGTTTATTAACAAAATTTGTTGTTGCACTGGATTTGCTTGACAGTTTGTTTTCTGCTTGAGGCTTTCATGCTGCTGCTCCTTCTTCCTTTTAACATCCTGGAGTGTTTCACAATTGAGCAATAGCTCTGAGCAGCATGTTAGTGGAATTATGGTGCTTGCTTTAGTAACAGTTTGCTTGCTGCAGTCTTCTAGTGATTCAGAGTGCTGTTGCCTGACTACCGGCCCTAATTATCTCAACACGTTGTTCCTATTTACTGTCACTTTCCGGGCTTCCTGTTGCTCAACATGCTGACAAAAAAGCTCTTCCTCTCTGGTCATGTTAGCTTGACTTCAGTAGCTATAGAACTTTTAAGATGGGTAAATGTCAAGGCCTCTGCAATCTCCAGAAGTCAAGTGAATGGCAGAAGCCTAAAACTAGAGTGTAATCCTAAAGCAAAGGGATTTAAAAAAAATCTGTTTGGAGCCTTATGCAAGTCCTAAATTTGATTTTTCTTAAAAGAAAAACTGATCACTCTAAATTTGAGTTTTATCAACTACTCACCTCAGAAGTCAACTTCTAATGTGACCACCCAATTCTCTTAGAAGCTTTAATAAGTCACCACTTGTATTTAAATCTGCAGATGCTTATTTTTCAGCTCTATTCAATGAAAATATCTGAAGCTATTTTCATTTTTACACCTAACTAAACGTACCAATAAATAAGTTGTATTGATAAAGAGGAATTAACCTCGTTAAGTCAGGTTCTGAGTATGCATGAAACTATCTTGCAAAGCTTTGGTGTTTTAAGTACTTACACTAATCAGTCTGAGTCCTGTTTTAGACAGTAACGAGCACATTTTTGCAACTCTTCAGTGCTGTAGCCATTGTCGCATCAACTTCTGCTTTCCTTTGTGAACCAAAAGTAGCAATATGTTTTCAAAATAAATAGCTTGTTCCTTTAAAAGACCAGGCTTGTGAATGAACTCTGCACTACTTCAGTGAAGGTTTTTTTTTTTCCTCCTTTTTCCATTGTGTATTGCCAACTCATTCATGAGCTACACCTTGGAAGATTGAGCATTTTTTCAAAATCGTTCAAATCTAAGGAGTTAAAAGCTAAAGCTGAAATTTACCCGGTCTTAAATATGCAAGCTGTCTTTGTAAATTCCTTTAATTTAAATCCTCGTGTTTTCTTTCACAGGTCCTGGCCTGGTTTGAAGAAGGTGAAGAAACGATCACAGCATTTGTAGAGCCTTTTGTAATCTTACTTATATTAGTAGCCAATGCAATTGTGGGAGTGTGGCAGGTAGGCAGATATCTTTACAATGTCAAATCTCAAATGCTTTGGGGTTTTTCCGGTTTAATAGAAAGCACTGCACAGTGCAGTGTCACGTGCTTCAGACAATGCAAGTAATGTATGCTGTTAACTTTTTTAATTCCTCAGAATCCATGCACCATATAAATTTGGGTCAGGAAGCGTTGATTAAAGATAAAATGAAAGCTTCAGAAGTATGGCCCACGAGGCAAAATGCCCCGTCCATATGTTTGGCCACATGCTGAAAAACACGTTAACTAAATAGTCCAAAATAAAGACCTAAATTCAGGAAGCAAATCAAATGTTGGAAGGTTAAGAGCCTGAATTGGTTGGATTAGTTTGCCGAAAAAATCAATGTTTTGTCTCAACTAGATAGCAAAGGATGGGATGCTTGTTATCAGGTTTCTTGTGGCTCTTTCTTGTTGATAACAAATGCTTTATTTTAATAAATTTATTAATATATGTAATACAGTATTATTCTGATTTGATTACTGCATTAGACACATGCATCTTAAACATGTAATGGGTTAGACATGCATGCCTATAAGAAGTAATTATTTTGAGGAAGACTTCTAAATGCCCCAGACCTCTTCCTGCATTATCATCTGTGAGGTGAATTAGATGGATTTTTCTCAATATTATCGGCAGTAGCATATTGCGACACTACTTGAGGTAGATACCAGCAGTTTTATTTTGCACGTTTGATCATTTCAGACAGTGTAAATCTTAGTATTGTCTTTTTGCAGAGAAACAATTTTCTAGGATTTTAGAGTGACTTAAATTCTTGGTAAATATCCTTTAAAGGGGTAGTATTAATGCGATTACCTGCTAGCTTAGCAGGTTAGACTTCAGACTTAAAAAATAAACTAAAATACAAAAACTATCCAAAATAACAATGAAAATTTAGAGAAGCAAACCTATTACTAAGTTTAAACATGTTAAAGAGGAGCATACGCACTGGAAACCACTAGAAGTGGCTTTTAGTGGAATTGCTGCACGTTACCACTCTCTGCTTTGTGCTACCGCTCCTGAGCTAGTTGAAGACTAACCCTCAAAAGATTCATTTTTAATAGGATCCAGCTTGCTGTGCGTAGGCTAGAACTGGTACAAAGGAAGAAGTAATGCAGAGGGAGGGAAGGAAGCAGCGCCCCTTTAAGTGGCGGCATCTTGCACAATTGCTTTACAGATTTGAGTAGAATTAAACTAATGCTTTCATATAACATGAAATTTGAGTTACAATTATACATGTAATAATTTGGAACATATAATGTAAGATAAAGCTATCTGTACAGTTTGAGTTGGAGTTTTCCTGCGTAGTTGTGTATCCTGCTGGAGGAAACCTGATAAAGTGTGCAAAGAATCTCAATATATATCTACATGCAGTGAACTTAATTGTGAAATGTAATTGTTGTACAGATTAAATGAGTCATTCCCTTGCTTTAGTGGGCATGGAAAATAAGTTGCAGCGCATAGTCTCCACCCATAAATGTATCTGTTTCTACAGGTACTAGACATGAGCAACTGAGTCATAGCCTTAACTCTGCCCTCCTCAACCTTGCCTTTCATGCGCCCTTCTCCCAAAATGCCATTTCCTAATACTTCAGTGGTTGGCAAGATAGTGTGTTGCAACTACCTTGACTTTGAGCAAATGGGGAACAGTGCGATATGAGCAGGCTGTCCTAGCTGAATCACGATTATTTCTTTCTTATTTCTCTTTTTGAAGGAAAAATCCAATTTAACTAACCTTTCATTTAAGAGACTTTTCTCTTGTGGTGTTAAGATTTTGCCTAATGTTAACTCTTAGTTAATGTGCTATCAGCGTTCTTGTGCTGAGGAGCAGAATTAATTTACCCAGTGGAAAACGAAGCTAGTATTTCAGGAGCTGAGCTGGTATCTCTACGCTACCTGCCACTGAGTTGTGCCATGTAAACATAAGTCCTTTGAGGTAGGTTTGGTAATGTTGTGTGAGCTGCAGTGTTATAGGGAAATACCTAATATCTCAACCTTTGAATTTTGGAAGATTAAGTGTCTACTTCAAGAAAGTTTTTTATCATCTGGAAAGGCTGGTATATTTTAAAAATACAGGCGTTCTAAAAATTATACGTACCCTTAATGTTATCTGTAGTAACTAGGCTTGTAATGATGTCTGTGCTTGTCAGTAGGTTAGGAAATGAGAAATAAGTTTCCTTCTAGAGCTAGAGAAGGAGTAGTGATAAGCTGTTGGTTTCTTAAGCTGTCTGCTGTCTAGGTGATGTCATGATGTTGATTGCAAGCTCCAGTATTGCTTAGCTGGGAGAACTGCTCTTGAGAAGGCTATTGTGTTAGTGCCTATGGAAATAAAAAGGTCTTGTCATATGTGGGGACTCATCTTAATTTGTAAACTGGAGGAAAAAAAAAAAATCTCAGGAACAAACTTCTAATCTGTATGATCTAATTTCACTTAATTTCACTGAAATTAAGTTGATAATATACTCTTTGAGCAATTTGGAGTTATAGCTGCTATGGCTAACTCTGTAGTAAAATCTAACTCGCCTTTAAATAGCTTAACTTAGAGTTTTGTCTTAACTTAGCCTTTGATTTGGTACCTCTAATTTTCTGTCAGTAAGTGAACCTCAGTACTGCTAGTCTGTTCTAGTTTGAGTCCAGGATGCTCCAGCTAGTAGCTTGCAGTTGAGACAAGACTATATCCATGGGTTTTAAGACTCGGTGCTTTTTTTAATATCAAAAAGCATCCATATGGCACCTAAAACTTTGTGTGGCCTTCCTGTAACAAGACAGTGAATATTCTTGATGGGAAATGCTACAGAGTTTGAATAAACAGCTTCTAGATTCTGAGTACCCACTAATGTCTGAATTATGTTGTAATGATTTCCAGTTAGGAACCTCATAATGGTGTGGGTCACGTCATTCTCTGTGTGAATAACTGCTGACTGCTCAGCTACATTTATTCATATGGTGCTGCACTTGGAAAAATCAGATCTGATGTACTTATTTTTCCTTGTCATGAGAGCTTTAAAAATTATGCGTTTTTGTTGTCTTTAGGAAAGAAATGCTGAGAATGCTATTGAAGCTCTTAAAGAATATGAACCTGAAATGGGCAAAGTATATCGACAGGATCGAAAAAGCGTACAAAGAATTAAAGCAAGAGACATTGTCCCAGGTGATATTGTGGAAGTGGCAGGTAAGGCTTACTTATGTAGTACAGACCTGTTTGACATATATTTTAAAGTTGTTAATGGTCTGAGCCCTAGAGGAGGTTTTCAAAGAAGCCTAAGCGTGTGCTTCACTGAGGAACAGTCTTGCTTCTGTTTATCTGTAATTAGCTTAAGTGTGCATTTGCACTGAGGGATTGTGGTTTTTTACATTGTTACTTTAATTGGTAGGTCTAAAAGCCAAGCATCTTAATTGTAGTACAGGTTTTAACATTTGTCACTATTCTAAAATGTTACTCTCTAAATTGAGGCTTCAAAGTATTTCATGTTACAACTTGTCTGTTTTATATTAAAAATACTTTTCCTTGCTTTTAAATGTATTTACTTTAGTTTCTGGAATGCAAAGATTTCTTGGTCAGTTGCACTCTATCCTTTATCCAAAACCTAATTTCATCAACTCTTACACTGGCAGCAGCAGTTCTTTTCAGCTTCTTTACAAACTTCTTCCTCTGTCTTCTCAGCAAATGAGACTAGCGTCTGATGTCATTTTATTCTCATCTTTCCTAATTCCTCAGTGCATCTATCTTTTGCCTGTTGCACTGTGGGAGACCACAAATAAAGAAATAACTGTACAAAGTAGAACTTCCTGTTTTTCAAGTATAAGCATTTGAAATTCTGCTTTCTTAAATAAAACAAAAAAAATCATAAATTGGTCTCTTACACCACCATTTTTAATAATTCAAGGTTACCCTAAAAGGGCTGTCCTTATATGGAAGGAGCGCACAAATAGAAGTATTGGGTACTTCAGAAATATGTACTATTTTATTTTGGTGGTATTGCCATGGCAATAGCTTTTCTCTAAACTAGACTGGTCAGTGATTTTAATGTTTTTGTTACTTTTATCTGGGAAGGAACAAACTAAGTGATTCTTGTTAAATGTCAGGAGTAATTACCTCCTCATATTTTGTAGGTCATTATCAACTGTTAACTGAGTGAGTGTTCCTTTGGGAACAAGTTAGGTGGTACATCAAACTGTTTCTTTCCACTAGTGTCACTTTGCTTTGGAGGTGGTAGCTGTCTCAGGAGGAGATAAATATATACCCTTAAACTCGACTATCCTGCTATTTCAATTAGCAGGCAAAGAGAGTATGCACTCAAAATGAAGTTGGTATTGGCTGTCTGCCAGCTTTTGTTTCCTGAGAAACTTTAATGTTCCCTAACCCTGTCCTGAGCCTCCGTTTTGTACATACAATGATTCAATTGCTGCAACCCTTATATTTATGAGAGTGAGCAATAATTATGAGTGAGCGTGAATCTCACGAAGGCTGAAGCTAGTTTCCTCTTTGTATCTTTTGGTGAAGAACGGGTGCAAATACAGAGTGCTGACAGCTGAAATAAAGGGTGAATTATGATACCTTGTCACTTACTCTGCTGTTTTGCCTTGCTATTTCTACTGCTGGAACCATCAAGTCAAATTTACATCCATGACTTTTGCAATGTTGTTTTGTTTCAGCAGCTGAAGCTTTCTACATCCTCTTGAGGCAAATGGAACTATATGAATTACGGATTTTGCGATAGACTTCTAGTCCAAATCACTGTCCTGATTTTAAATGCCACCAATAGAATGGCAGTTTTGGAAGCGTTTCTTCTGTCATGAGAGCCTATTGATTTTGTACTGTAAAGCAGTATTGGTAGAACAGCAAATAGGGGACAGGTGTTTTGTACTGGTTTTGGGATATCTCGTTAAGGGGAAAAAAGGCTGGATTTTGCTCTGTGAGGTGGCTAGAGCACAGAAAAAAAACATTCTGGTTTATTCTCCATTTCAGAAATGGTAAAGGGATAGCTTTTTCATCCTGAGGAATAAAACAGCTCTCAGAGCTGTACGTCAAACCCCTAGGGGTTGTGCAGGCTTTTGCTTATCTTGCAGAGTCTTGTCAGTATCCATAAAATCAATTGCTTGACTTTAAACATCTCTTTAGAAAGCCTCTATCTGAAGGTGAGAAATGGGTTGAAAACAAACCACCGACTAGCATATCGTTAACACTAGGCTATCTTTAACAAACCACGGCCCCTAAATTTTTAGGGGATCTATTGCATTATTTTTAAACCTGCTCATAGAACAGTGTCTGATAGATAGGCCAGTGTTTTTGGAACAAATTTAAGAGCCACACTTTAAAACTAGCATGCTCAAGTAGAGAAATAAAAATACTCTGGCTTCTATTTCTGTCCTTAATAGAGGTAGCCTATTGATTGGCTTGAATATTTTAAATAGCGTGAGTTTCTATGCTTATACTGCTGGCTCAGACAGTCTAGTCGTAAGCACGTTATACTCATCATTTTTCTTACTGGCAAATAGAATCCATAGCTTCAAGCGAAGGTGACAATATAAATGTGATGTTAGGAGAGGTGATGTGGATATTTGGTACAGAAAGTCAATGCTTCAGTGTAATATGAACTCTGATATTGAAGCAATGCATTCTAACTTGAAGATAGACAATAATGAAATTATAATTGTATCAAATTCGGAAAAGCTCCTGAGCAAGTGGAGAAGAGCAATGCGGTGTGTACCAGCGTTAGTGTCAAGACCTGGAGGTGCGAGAGACTGTGTGCATGCCTTTGTCTCAAGTGTAAGAGTATTGCGATGGCCTTTGACATGGTGTTTGCAAAAAGATGACCATGTAGGGAAGTGACAGAGCACTTCATATGAGGATACATATCTGGGTATGGAATTCTAGGCAAAGTGCCAATGACATTTGTGTGTCCAGGCAAATATCTTTCAACTGAGTGGCGTAAATAGCCAGGTGATAGGTTTCTCCCCCATGCTGATACCTAATTTTGAGCAACTTTCTACAGGTCTTTTATTACAGAGCAATTGTATGTAATGCTGTAGCAGCTTTATTAATTTTAAAAAGCTATCCTTGGATCTGACAGAGAACGCTCTTGCTTGTAGAATTTCTACTGTAGACTTATACTGCAATTCATTAAAAACAAAAAAAAAGCCTCTTTACACTGTAAGAGTACCTCCAGAAGAAGTTGCAATGAAATGTTTCAAAAGTTATTGGGTCGTTTCAGTAGTTTTCAATCCTTTGAAGACACTTGAGTTGCTGAATACTTCCAAAAGACAATCAGTGATGGTTTATATTATTGCTTTTCATTCTGGCTCCTTAAGTTATTTCCAGAGTTTGACTTCATTCATTACATACTGTTCAGTCTCTCCCGTGGACTTCTAGTAGAAGAGATTTTTCTTAATTGCTTTGTCAGATTAAACAGATGTTGTGGTCTGTGGGTGGGTTTGTTTCATTTTTTGAATTGGAAGTAATGGGGGAAACTGCAGGTCTGCATTGTCACCCTACAGTAAATAATGGAATAACTTCAAGTAAATTAGGTTACCCCTCAAGTGATAAGGAGCCTACTCTCTCACGTTGAGGATCACTGTGCATACAGATACTGCAGAACACTTGAACGATTACTGCCTAGTATGCCTAGTAGCTAACAAATTCAATATAAATGCCGCATTAAAACTTTACAGGTGTAACAGCAGACACCACATAGGCTCCAGCCATTCAGTCGTGGACCCCAGACATTAATTCCTTAACCATATCTATTTAGGAAGACTTTCTTCCATGTCAGCTTAAGCAGAGTTGATAGAAAACATACTGTACAGTCAACAAACTCCTTGGGATTGAGTTGAGGTTTAAGGGTTTGGGATATACGCCTTGAATTTGCGTGCTGACCTCTGGTGGGCATAGTTTTGAGGACTCTGGTGTTTAAGGGTTACTAAGCTACACTGTTTGTTTCTTAGAATTGATGAACTGAAAAAAATCCGGATGCTGTCCTCAAATGGCTTTTCAGTTTGCCTGTCTTAAAATGGATTACAACTCTGCTATAAAAGTTTAGTTTCCTGGGGGATGCACTCTAAATTTGTAACTAATAGCCATCTTAACAGATTAAAGATGTCATTTGATGCTTTGGCTGAATTGCCTTGATTAAAGTAATGTTTTAAAGAGAAACTTGACACAGCTTGGCCTTAGTTCTTAAAAGTTTTTGTGTAAGTGCAGTCTGACAAATTGGGATGTACTGGCTTCGAATCACGTACAAACTTTGTTCGCTTTCACTGTATTTTCCTGTCTACAATGTTCTCTTTTTAGATGTAAAAATAGGAAAATTACATACAATATAAATTAATATTCATTAGTTGTAATCTGTAAGTGAACAATTTGGAGTCACAAGAGTCCCTCTTTCCATGAAGTGCTGAACAATGATTCCTATCATCTGCTGTTACATGTGTGGGTACTCAACAGCTTAATAACACCCATGGAGTTCCCAGAAGTTGATGCTTTTTAAGTTGGTAGATATGCTTGAGTATTTAGTTTTAAGTTTATACCTGGCATCAAGTATGTTAGAACTACTTTGCAAGACTTGATTTTTTTTTTTTTTTTAAATAGTCATTATCCTGACAGACAGGTTTTTTTTTCCTACATGCGTTGTATCTTTTGTTTTGCGTTTAACTCTAACTGTAGAGCTCTTTGAGCCTCTTCCTAAAGCATAGCTACTTTATAATTAAGGGAAGGTATGTTTTGAGGTGGAGAAATACAGGAAGGAATATTCTTAAGGTGGAATATGTCAGACTCCAGTGTGGCTGTGAAGAATTATGGATTCTTCTTATTGGCATGAGCAGCAAACGCTGTGGCAGATTTTGCTCCAGAGTATCTGGGTTCTTGCGCCTATGTTATTTTTTTAGTAACTAGAACTGATCTTCAGACTCTGTGCTGAAGATATGGGTTTACTTCTTTTGGAATAGTACTTAGTTTGGAAAAAAAAAATACTTTTCAGAACAGTGGAGTTTAAGAGGAGATTTAAGCCTAGAATATTGAACTACTGGAGGTTTTCCTAAGCAAATTGCTGAAAGCATCTCTGATATGAAAAAAAGTGGACTGCAAGCCTTTTATTCTTACCTGTTGCAAATTGTCACGTTTTGTTTTTTAAAAATTAAGCACCTTATGTTGCTTTTTCCATGAAGTACTGCTTTTGAAGGAGAGAAAACATG